TGTGTGTGTGTGTGTGTGTGTGTGTGTGTGTGTGTGTGTGTGTGTGTTAGAAAGCGGTGCTGGCCATGCTTCCTGGAGAGAAGAGTCTCGGTATGCTGTCCTGAGACGTCTCCACGTGTCTGTAGGCCATCTTCCCTTCCTCACCTGCTCCACACAGTTTAATGAAGAAGAAAAAGAAGAGAAGGAAAGTGGGATGAAAGAATGGACACATGAATGAATGAATGCCTTGATCCGCTCCACAGACATTTGTGTTGGACAAAGTTAAAACATGCAAGATGTATGTTTCTTATTTCTGCTTCATTATGGTCTTATGAAAAAAATGGAAAAAGGATGAAAGAAAATACAGAAAAGCAATTATAGTTTGATAATAGTTTGAGTAAATGTAAAGTGCATCATTATAGATAACACATATCCATGTCTGTTTAGCTGTCATTGTAAGGAAGAGGAGCATTATTGTTACCGAGCACCAGCAGCACTTGTTTGGCAGCATCTCGGACTTCGTCCTTGTCCGTTCGACAAAGATACACCAGCTGGTCAATACTCTCTTTGGCCTGGAACCACAGCAGGTGGAATACAGCGGTCAGCGTGATGAGGACATACTACACGTGAACAGATGTAGGTAACAGCTGTATGTGTGCGTACCTTGAGACAAGCTAAGGCCTTGCATCCGCACACTCTGGTGTCCACATCCTGGTCCTCCAGCAGCTCCAAACAGCTGACCAGAGCCTGAGGAGGAGGATGGACACAGTGATGACACGTCTGCACTACAGCTCTCCTGATGGAGAAACACCTCAGAGACAGGAGAGATGGATTCCTATCCTATGAACTCCTAAGTGTAACTGTAACCTTGATCCATGCCTACATCTATGTGTAGAATGAACACCACGCTGTAGTGCATCAGTGCTCTGTGTGACCACTGGCAGAGTCAGTATTACGGCCATCAAATTCAAAACCGTCTCGCTAGTCCATATATCATCTGGTTTATGTAGCCTTTCAGTCATGATATTTCTCTATATTATATCTGTCCTAGGATCAGACAGGATGTTCTTCCTGAATGCATGTGGACCCTGGATGTCATCCTCAGTGGGACGTTCCTGTGTGAGGCCCAGCTGTTCACGGGATGTGTTTGCCTTGGAGCCCAATCAATATTCTCTTCAATCGATCTATTTGTAGCAGTATTGCTTTATATGCAGACTGATAATAAGTGATGTCAGTACAGACAAGGCAAAAATAACATGCTAGATACAGCGTCACATTTACTGTATATAAATATTCAGTTACATCAATATGCTGCTGACTCATGGTTATAAAAAGGACTAAGATGAATATCTAAGTTATCAGAGTGATATAGATAAACACAGCAGGTGACCTTAAAGGGGACATATCATGAACAGCTCTTGTGTGTATCTGTGTTTATACCCTGACCAGTAAACATGTGATTCAACAAGCCCTCCTTTAGAGTACAGCGCCCTCCAGCTGAGCCCCTCCAGCTGAGCCCCTCCAGCTGAGCCTCTCCAGCTGAGCCCCTCCAGCTGAGCCCCTCCAGCTGAGCCCCTTTGTCTTTGAACCACCGTTATAAAGGTGCACCATGTTCTTCTCATAAACCAATCAGAGCACACTGGGCCTTATAAGGAGGGGTCCTTAAAGAGACAGTTGTTATAGAATACAGGTATATTCACCAGAAAAATAACGTTTTTTGAAACATGTACAGTACAATGATCATCAACTGGTGGCCCGCGGGCCACATACGGCCCCCCAAAGCTTATCTTCCAGCCCGCAGAATATGAATGAATTCACAGCGACCACTGCAGGTGCAGCCTGTGGAGCTCTCAGGAGTCCGTTTAACTCTCCTGCTCACATGTGTGCACAGAGACTCTAGAGGGCCGTGTTACCCACAGAGCTTTGGGAGCGCACCAGTTGTTTCTGTCGATCAGCTGGAGCCTTCTAGTCGGCTTTGCCCGGTTAGCCGGGTTAATTAAACTCAACTGACCACAATCTGTGTCAAACTGTATTCCGACATTGTTCAACTAAAGCCTGTCTGTGGTTGAAACATTTCATTTACGACGGCATCACCCGAATGTGTTGTTGAGCAGAAGAAAACAAAACGACAGCATTCATGCTGACTCAGCAATAAGTAACCCTATAAGAGTGTGCATCACTACAATGTGCCTTCACATGTCTGGTGTGCCTTACACAGCACCAGCTGCAGGAACGCATTCTGAAATGATGTTTCCATATTTACAGATTTGAACAGAACTGCTTTCTTGGTGGAGGTGAGAGCATTCTCTCGTGAAGTATTGAGTCATCATTATGGATTTCCCATGTTTTTTAGGAGTCCGTTCACACTGACAGAAGCTGATCTCCAGACCTGAGAATGAGCATAAGTCTCCTTTAAACAGTACAACCGGAGAAACATGCTTAGTGTCAAAGTCAAAAAGAACACAATTTAGTAGAAGAAGAATACATCAGAGATATTCTTCTCTCAGTGTTTGAAGCATCCCGTGTCCTCTCACCTGCTCTCTCTGTCGGGGCTGGGCAGCCAAGCTCCTCAGCACAGAGCTGGCAGATGCCGACACTTTGCCTCGTGGGTCTTTCAGTAGTTTGGCCACAGCGTGAAGCCCCTCTCTCCTCAGGCTGCACTCTGCAGGACGCCGCAGAGCGTGCACGATGACCTCCTGGTCACATGACGCCAGGCTCTGCACCAACCACACTGTTGGAGGGAGCTTATTGTCACCAATCAGAAGCCTTGTCTGCATTCATTAAAGGTAGGGTTGGTCATCTTTTTGTTGAAATTCTCATTACATCCTGACAGTTATCAATGAATCAAATCAAAAAAATAAAAACGTACGCGTGTTACGTGAAAAAACCATCAACATTGACGTTTGGTGTGACGTGGGGAATGAAGCGTGGTCTACTGGCTGAGAGGTCGCTGGTTGTTGGAGCCGTCCACCTCCCCTCCTGCCGGCCCAGTGTGTGATTCAGAGATATTTATTCTTCCTTGTTCATGATTACGCGCATAACATATGAAAAAAATGTCGCGGGATATCTACGAATTACGGCGCATTATTTTTCGAAGGTATATCTACGAATGTTGGAGAAGACCAGCCGGCTCATATTGGTTGTTTACGTTGATAATGATCATTTTGGGGGAGTGGCTCTGGAGAGAGGCCTGAAGGGACAAGCAGCTGACTTGGTGACTTTCTCTCTAGATGTAGTGATTCTTTGAGCTACTTTCATTCTACAGAGAGCTGGCAGCACTGAGCTTTAGTGGGATGGTTTTAAATCGATCGTACTCTTGATAGTTTGTCAACACTACCGAAGCTAGCGTTACGCTTGGTGTGGGTGCGATACCTTCTTCTGCCAGCTCGGTGATGAGTGTTTCCATGTCTATAATGCCGTTGGCCTCAAAGTAACTCCACAGCTGGAACAGTGTCACCATCACTCCGTCTCTGCTGTCACCCCGCCGCGGTAACCTCTGATCCAGCACCCGCTCGACCAGTCTCAGGAGCACTGGACAAACACACACACACACACAGCTGTTAACATCGCACACACACACTAACATGTACTGCACATGTCCAGATGTGGTTGTACCTGTGTCGGCCATGTTGCCAGCCCTCTCGGGCAGAATCCCGGAGTAGAGTGTAGACAGTGTAACCAGGAAGCTCTCAGCAGACACGCTGTACACGCTGCCCTGCCCCACACACTGCTGCCACAGTGACTCAGCACCCAGGCACAGGCCCAGCTGTGGTATCACTGTGACGGAGGACGAGAGGACGGAGAAACAAGAGAGCAAAGGTCAGAGGGAGTCTTTTATTTGTGGATCAACCTACTGAAGTTTCACCTTTGCAGACGGAGACTTCACAGAAACACTAACACGGACATCAGAAGCCGTTTGACCAACCAACAAGGGATGTGGTTGAAGCAAACAGAAACCAACATGTAGTCTATCAATCCAATAGGTTGCTCTCATTCCTGCCGTTTGATCAACCCTGACCACATTAGCAATGTACTTCATGACTATAATAACCAGTCACGACGGCGTGTGGCTGGTACTGTTTTCACTCCGTCAGTCTGTGTGTGTGTCATTATAGCAAGATGTGGTCCTGGAGACACTGACTGTGGACAGATGTTCCAACACGATAGAGTCAAAAGCACACAAGACGCACTCACGGAACTCCAAAGGCGTGTATCTGAGATGAAGGTGTGGTCCGAGAGAGGGCGACGGAGGTATGAGGGTAGGAGGTCTAGGTTTATTTAGATGACGTGTGTGAAATCCTGTAGCATTGTGATAGAAGTGGAGCTCCAGCACCACGATACACTGAAACAGCTGCTACTTACAGAGCTGACTATTCAGCACAACTGTCCATCACTAGTTGTGTTTACATCCAGTTGTCAAGTTGAATTTTAAGCAAACAATGTTTTGTGGAATTCGTGTCAATTAGTGAAGTTGTAATTGTGCTTTCATGTCAGCCAGTATTGCTTCCTGCTGTCCTGAGACAAAGACAAACAGATCAACTGATTCAAGGGCTGCCAGCAGCAGAAACAGCTGATCAGTCATGTGACTCAGGGCAGCACTCAAAGATGAGTCAGAAGTTATTTGGTAAAGTTTCCATAATCTGTTGAGCACATCAACTTGTTTTGCGTACTAGTTTTTTATAATGCAAAACTTCAAATGCGTTACTTTGTGTATTTTGATTAGAATCCAGATGAACATGTAGAGCACACCTGTCAAACTCAAGGCCCGCGGGCCGAATCGGCCCGCCACGTCATTTTATGTGGCCCGCGAATCCACCAGCAAAAAAAAAACAGAAAAAAAAAAAACGTTTTTTGTTTTTTTTTAATTTTGGAAAAAAAATGAAAAGTTAGACTTGAAAATAAAAATATCCCCATGGTCGAAATTATGAGATAGAAAGTTGAAATCATGAGACAGCATGTTGTGAAGTATTATCACCGTGGCTGGACATTGATTACTTGTCCTCCTAACAGTCACTTGGTAACAATATGGTTAATTAGTTATTACCTTTTTTTTTAAAACAGGTGGACAGGAGAGGGAACAGCCCGTAAAGAGGTTTTCCAACAAGTGATTGAGTTGAAAAAGATCGACAAATAATCCCAAAATGTCCACGAAGAGAACAATTGATGCAGAGGGAAGAAGATGTAATTTAAGATGGGAAAGAGAATACATGTGTGTGCTTCAGGGAGAAAAACGGGTCTGTCTTCTGTGTTATGATGCGTGTCGGTGATGAAGAACACAATTCAAGTCGGCATTTTGACACCAAACACGGAGCTAAATTTAGCCTCCAAGAAAAACATCAAATTGTCCAAGAATTAAAAGGCAGAGTGCAATCACAGCAGAATATATTTACAGAAGCTACAGCCCAGTGCACGCTAAAGGTATGTGAGCAGGTGAGCTCCGACCAGATACAGACTTTTACAAATGTCAGTTTGTGAAGAAACACCATCGCAGCAATCTAGCAACACAGCTAGCTCAGAGACGAGATACATCATCTATCAGTGTTTGTAAGAGGCTGAAGGCAGACCTGACTCTGTGAGGAGCTCTTGGATGTAGCTGCCATGCACGGGACGACGGCAGGGACATTAGTGATGCAGAGAGGTGACAACAATAGCTTTGAACAAAGTTAATGTCATAACTTGTGTTTGATGATATTTGTCTTTGTTATTTTCTTTAATAGTTTGATCTTTGATAGAGTAATGTGGGCTTCTTAACCCTAAATTAAAATGATTTATGTTATAATAACAGAAATGTGCTTAAATATCATTTTACATTTATATAACTGCATGTACAATATTTTTACACTTGAATAAACAATAATCAAAAGCAGGGACAGTTATTTAACAATATGTTAGGAGTAGTTACATTTATACAGTCTTACAGTTACAACCGGCCCTTTGAGGGAAACCATGATGCTGATGTGGCCCAGAGTGAAAATGAGTTTGAGACCCCTGCTGCAGAGTAAAGAAACGGTGAAGAGTTCCCGTTATGAAGTATCATATTTAGTGGAGGTGTGCTCTCCTGGTTTCTGTGTTTTCTTGTAGTTGAATGTGTTTTGATCCGCTACATATTTGATCTTACAGCCGATGTTCAGCAGGGACCAACAGAACAATACTGTGGATAATCCTGTTGTCCAGTTAATACAAATGATGCATCACTTAGTAAGTTAGCTGACTTGCTACCAGGCTCATCTTATCAGACAGGAAGCAACAGGCACGCTGTACTTCAGGTAGTTGTTCACTGTGCCTTTGTCTTAGAAACACCGGTTACATGCACCCATGTGTATGTGATCATGTGTTGATGTGTATTGGTCATCTATGGGTCACTGAACAGCGGGCAGCAACTTATCAGTTTGACCAACATCATGCGACGACACATGGAGGGCTCAGACATGAAGGTCAGGGTTCCTCTTGTGTGACACTACTGTGATCGATGCTGATCAGAGTGGTCCAGACACACTGTAGACACCGGCGCTACCTTCAGCAGGCGCTCTGAGGCGTCTCGGGTTGTCCTTGGTGATGCGTCGGATCATCTCCAGGACTCGAGCCTCCCTCAGCAGTCTGTCCAAGGCGTACATCTCCCCACAGCGCAGCGGGCCGAACATACCCAGACACTGCACACAAGACGTCACATATCACTCATGTGCTCCACCGCTTTAGTGATGACACGGTTTATCAGAGAACACACCAGTCTGATGTAGTGTTACAACTAACACCTAGATGATGACTTGTAGTTAAACTACAACTAGAACTGCTAAAGCTACTTTTTAAAGATGTATTACTTTGACTTACTATGGATTTACACAAGTTACAAAAGCATTTAACCTCCTTTTAAAAATGAATGCCAGACACTTCATACTCCAAATTATGCCAGATAATCAGAAATAATATGTAGAAAATACTTCTACTTTAATACTTGAACTATTGTAAACACAGCCGTAACAAGTACTACAGCTCCTTTTCCTTCACAACAGAACTTCAAGTTCAACTCCTTGAATAGTGTGATGATGAATAAGATTACTCTCCTCCTCTCTTGTCTCTGAAGTGCTGCTCATGTCTAAGATGGATCGACAGATCGAGTATCTCTGCTTAGCTGGAAGCTTGACATTCTGACATCAAGCAACTTTTACTTTGAAGGCGAGCTGTCTCTGTTCCAGACTCTCGACTTCCTTTACTCAATGTTCATTATTAAAGTTGGATAATGGAACAAGCTGAATTACATTGCACGTGTTCATTCAATGCGACAACAACACGAAGCGTTAACCGTGTTTAAGCAGCATCGGCTCACACGTAGCAGAATAACATGAACACAAGGAGCCCAATGAGACGAGGTAATACCCCTAAACTCACATTGTTCATTATACAACGTGAACAATGGAAAATGAATCATACTTCATGCACGGACCTTCTTACCCAAGACAAGAGCAACAATAAGAAAACGTTGGTGAACATAAGAGGGTATTTGTTCTTATGGCTGCCTGCATGAGGCCCTTTGTCCCATGAGCATGTGCACTGAGCAGCTCGAGGCCTGAGATGACATAAGAACAGTGTCCTACCAACAGCTGAGTGCTGCAGTTCTCCAGGTGGACCACCAGGGAGCAGTCTAAAGTGGTGCAGCCTGTGGTGAGGGGGGAGGTGGGGCTGTCCCAGCCTCTGTCCTGCAGAGACCTGCAGACACACAAGAGGCACTTTCAATGACATAATCAGTGTTATGATTACGTTAACACCGTTAGTGTCAGGATCTAAGTTCAGTTCAGTTTATTCCTGCTTCTGTGTCCCTCAGTGGGGAATTAGTCACTCAGCAAATACAGACAAATAGGACAACAGACAACACATAATCAACTAACATGATGTAAAAACAGTGTTACAGTAGTGGCACACATTGAACATTATCACACACACTTCAGCCTTGGTTATATTCCCAAACAGACGCGTAGTAATTCTGTTTGTACTGTTGGAGGACACCGTCCACACATGAGCAGTGCATCGCTAGGCTCCATCTGTAGAGTCACAACAAACTGGTGGTTTGCAGACGTCCGCAGAGAGCCGACGTGCACAACCTTTGACCATATGTACGTCACGCTGACCCTAGTGGACCCTTGCATACTTGCAAATGCTTCAAGTATGACTTTGGCTTAAAGTGACAATCCTTAAGATTTCAGTCCGGTAGAATTTCTGTTAGAGTGAAAACAAAGATGTTGAGTTCAGAGTTTAGCTGTCTGGATTCCATACTAATATGCTAGTTTAAGAATTTTGTGTGTAGTTCTATTTTTTGTCTGTATGTACCCTGGAGGCAAAATCCAATTCTGAAAAGTGAAGTCAAAGCTTCAAGTGTTAAAGCTGCATTCTCTCTAGTGTCCACCAGGGGGCGACTCCTCTGGTTGTATAGAAGTCTATGAGAAAATGACTCTCCTTCTCTCTTGATTTATTACCTCAGTAAACATTGTAAACATGAGTTTATGGTCTCAATCTCTAGTTTCAAGTCTTCTTCAATACAGCATGATGTTCATTTAGTACATTATGGTCCATTTAGAGTCACACAGACCATAAAGCAGGGGATGCTTTAGGGCGGGGCTACACGGTGATTGACAGGTCTCTATACAGCGTCTCTACATTACTCCTCCTCAGTCCAAATATGGTCACTTACGTCCATTGGTTGCAAAAAAAACACGATAGCAACGGCTACAATGCTGACACGAGGCTTCAAAACATCAGTCCACAAGACAATGGGTGACGTCACGACGTCCACGTCTTATATACAGACTGGGGTTCATACAGCACCTTTTCTGGAAATGTCACCACAGACATGTCACCCAGTTCATAATACTGCAAATACGTATATAAATATTGCAATACTTTCATCAGTGGGCCATATAGGCTCAATCACATTTATGTTACTGCCTTCAGTGAAAGATAGTGACTTAACAGACATTTATTTAAATGAAGATCTTCAAGTTTGTCACTTTAAAACTGAATGTTTGTATGCTTACAGATGGCCCTGAGCATCCTGTAGCTCTGTCCTTAGGGCAGCAGCTCCAGTAAATATGCCTTTACTCACAACCTTATTTAAGTGCATTAGTAATGCCAGCGGCATGGCTCGAGGTCTGTCGGTCAGTCTGCCCACCACTTTGGTTTGGGTTGAAATATCATCGGATGGATTAAGATGAAGTTTTGTACAGACTTTCATGGTCCCCTGAAGAGCGTTTTTTAAAGGGCCACCATGAGGGTCGCAATTGTGATTTTGAGTGAAATATCCCAACATATTCGCCGTAGCTTTTCCTCTAGCGCCGTCATCAGGTCAGGTTTTAAAATGATCAATACTTTGGTTTATGAATACATAAATTAAATTCCCATCAGCCTCAGCTGTAGTCCGTGTTTAGTGCCAGTTAGCAAGTGTTAGCATCTTGCTCCCTGCACTACTGTGCATAAGTGCAGATCAGCATGGCTGGATCTTAGTCTTGTTGAATTTACATTGCCAATATTGAATATTTGACCATATTCATGTTTAAAAAGACTTTAAGGCATTACTAATGGTGATGAAATGTAGAATGTATACTTATTAAAAAGAGTGAGTGAAGTAAAAATAATTAATACTGTTTCTTAGTAGGTGTCATTATAAAATTGTAACTAAACAACTTTCTAAAACTATTTTTTAGCAATAAATGAGATGACATCTTTAGCTTAAGATATCATAACCTACACAGGGTACGACACTATACACAACAACAAGACATGGAAAGAATCTAGCCATCAAGCCAAGAAAAACGAGGAGGAAGTTATGAAAACACATGTTTTTCCAGCCTACTCTCTGAGCTGCAAACAGCAGTTTAATTAACAGAGCCGTGATGGTTCAACCCGGCTCCACTAGATGGCAGCAAGACTCTTCAATAACAGCAGCTGGATGAGACTGGACTGGTCTGCTGACTGGGAACAAATGAAACTGTGAAAACACAGATTCTTTACTGATATACGAACAAATCTTAAATCATTCACATGTATGGAGCTAAATCCAGGTCACAAGTTTTGTCTTGAACATTGAAAATGAAAATAAGTGAATGAAATTTTTTTTTGGGTTGAATATCATTTTGATATTTGATATTAATTTTTTTGAATCCATTTTTCTTTTTCATTTTTCACTTTCATATATATTTTGATATTTGAGGTCTTATATTTTTCAGTTTCAGATTTTATATTTTCGGTTTCAAATCTTTTTTTCACTTTCAGATCGGTTTTTTTCAGTTCAGACTTTTGACCCTGATCTGGCCTGGCATCAACTGAGAGGGGCGTGTCATCATGAGTGACAGCATAACAAAGAAGGCTGAGGACTTCCTCTCCCTGGGCACCGCGAGAATTATTATTCAACACTCTCTATACACCATATTCACGTGAATGCAGTGGGGGGGGGGGGAACTCCACCAGCTATCCTGAAGGAAGCTTCGGAGGGAACCAGCTACTGGTTCGATTAGTCTTTCGCCCCTATACCCAGGTCGGACGACTGATTTGCACGTGAGGACCGCTACGGGCCTCCACCAGAGTTTCCTCTGGCTTCACCCTGTCCAGACATAGTTCACCATCTTTCGGATGGTGAACACTCACGCGGGCGAGACGGGCCGGTGGTGTGCCCGACGCCGCGGGGTCGGGATCCCACCTCACCTGGCACACTGGCCCTCACTTTCATTGCGCCACGGGGTTTGCTTCACCCTCTGATTCGCGCGTGCGTTTAACTCCTTGGACGGGTCGGGTATGTTGCCGACATAGACCTGACACCTTTAACTTGAGCCGATCCCCGCCCTGGCGACGCGGTTGGGGCGCACTGAGGACAGTCCGCCCCGGTCGACAGTCGCGCCGGGAGCATGGGGCCTCGTCCCTCCCCGCAGGGAGAGTGGGCGCAGCGAGCACTGAGTCCACGGCCCCGGGGATAGCGGGGAGCACTGTAAAGCACCCGGACGGAGCGGCGAGCCTTTCCAAGCCGACCTAGAGCCGGTCGCGACGCATCGCCACGGAGGATATGCGCCCGGCGGGGCGGGGATCGGCTCAAGTAAAAGGTGTCAGGAGTCTGTGGCGATGTCGGCACGGACCAAGGAGTCTAACGCATGGTGATAACAAAGAGACCTGATCAAGCACAAGGTAAAGAAACAGCAGCAGTGTTTAATATCTCTGTAGGGTTCTTTCCATAATGTAGTCAGACACTTCTAATTACAATCTGAGCCTTCAGTGGCTACAACAACACTGGAAGTGGACATATATTGACGGTGAGGAGTTGCCCCAGTGATGACATTGTCCCCATTAATAAACATGAAAACATGTGAAAATAGTGTCCTGGTTGAAAAATAGCGAAGTCACCCTCTAAGGACATGTCATTTATTTTACTGACTGATGAAGAGTGTGCAGTGGTTTTGGATAAATCACACATTTGGTTGGGTTTCAGTATTTTACAGTTTCAGTTCATTTGTCAGCACTGACCTTCCACTTCTACTCCTCTTGTCGCCCTTCTCCTCCTCTTCCTCCTCCCAGTCAGATGTGTTGAGGAAATCGAAACTGCCCAGAGCCGTTTCCACTGTGAGGCTGACCGCGCTGGGCGACCGGCTGTGCCTACCGCCCTACATGCATACGCACGCACGCACACACGCACACACACGCGCACACACGCACACACAGATCCATAGACAGACCATACGTCAATAGTCAGGTATGTCTTTGATGCCCACAGCAGTACAGATGAACACTCCTCATGACTCTCAGAGCAGAGTAACCGCTGAACTGCTGAAGCTACAGCAGCAGATAAACAAGAGCATTCTTTCACATATGTAACTCTAGTTGCTAATATTAACAGACCACAGGGCGGACTGTGATTGTCAGGTCTCTACCAGAGACGTATACGGTGTCTCTAAGTCACTCCTACGCATTGCAAATATGGTAACTTCTGTTCATTGGCTGCCAAAAAAACAACACAGCAACGGCCGTAATCCAAGATGGCGACGGTGAAATCACCGAACTCGAGGCTTAAAAAGTGAGTCCACAAACCAATGACTAATGATGACGTCATTAGTCATGACAATGACAATATTGGCATTGATATATGCTCATACTTGAAGTAGCATCATGCGCATGTAAAAACTCATAAATTTGATAACTTTTCATCACAAAGGTCTGAAGAGCATCCTGAGCAAATTTGAGGTTGATCCCATTAATTCTGTAGGAGGAGTTTGTTAAAGTACAAAGGCTGAAGACTGCGAAAAGTGACAAAAAAGCACAACATGGCGGGTTTACTCTAGCGCCCCCTAGTGGTTGAATGAAATGAAAATGTCAGGGTATATTACAGGATGCAATGTGCACATATGCTGAAAGTCTGGTGATTTTAAAAAAACTGGTTGAGAAGTTATGTGTATTGATAAATAAGCCACACCCCTAAGAAGTTTATTGGTCAATATCTTATAAACGCAAAGAGATATCAAAAAGCTTTTAATAAGTTCTGATGATGTAGATCCAATAATTATCCAGAGCAAATTTGGTAGCAATCAGACACAGCGTGCAGGAGGAGTTTGCAAAAATGTGTTTTTCACAAAATTCTAAATGGCGGAAAATCTAAGTAGGCGGAGTTCAGTGGTCTGACAGGCTTTTTTGTAGAGCTAGCGGAGCTGGACATGTGTGTCGAATTTCAAGCAAATCGGACATACTGGCCAAAGGGCGTCGCCGGTCCAACTTATAGGGGGCGCTTGAGAGCCATTTTTTTTACACACAAATATGCAACCTATATCAGATGGCTATATTCACCAGGCCTGACAAGTGTGCAACATTTGGTGAGTTTTCGAGTATGGCAAGTCCCCCAAATATGCGCCCGATGTACTATGTGTATTCAAATTTCAATAGGGCCTTCGCTGGCCCAACAGTGTCGGTTGCTCGGGCCCCAACGAAGTCGGGCAAAGGCCCTATTGAAATCCGAAGGATTATTAGGGCCCGAGCTACCGACGTCGGGCCGCGAAGGCCCTATTGATATTGTACCCGTTTGGGTAAGCGTCCTTGTCAGGCCTGGTGAATATAGCCATCTGAAAAAGAATGCATCTTTCTGTGTTAAGAAATGGCTCTCTAGCGCCCCCTACATGTCGGACCGGCGACACCCCTCGGCCAGTATGTCCGATTGACTTGAAATTTAACACACATGTCCACTTGAGCTAGAGCTACAAAAAAGCCTCTCAGACCCCTAAGCTCCGCCTACTTAGATTTTCCGCCATATTGAATTTAGTGTAAAACACATTTCTGTGAACTCCTCCTACATGCTTAGTCCCATTACTACCAAATTTGCTGTGGATCATTACTGGATCTACGTCATCAAAAGCTATCAAAAGCTTTTTGATATCTCTTTTCGTTTACAAGATATGTACCAATAAATTTCTTAGGGGCATGGCTTAATATCAATACATATAACTTCTCAACCGTTTGTCCTAAAATTACCAGATTTTCAGCTTATGTGCACATGGCATCCTCTGACATACCCTGAGATTTATTTTGCATTCAACAACTAGGGGGCGCTACAGTAAACCCTCGAAGTGTTTTTGTCACTTTTTGCAGATTTCAGCCTTCGCACTTTAACGAACTCCTCCTGAGATTTTAAGCGATCAACTTCTACTTTGGTCAGGATGCTCTTAAGACCTTTGTGATTAAAAGTTATCAAAATCGAGAGTTTTCATCAAAGAACCTTGACGTGGCGTGGCGGCCATTTTGCCTCATTGTTTATGAAAAAATAAGTTGTTATAACTCCAAGGTACATTATCCAATTCGCACAAAACTTCTTATGCATGATGCTACTTCAAGCCTAAACATACTTCAATTGAAAACAATTCAATAACTCATAGCGCCGCCTACTGGCTAAAGGAAATGTCATATTTTATACTTTTATGTATTCCTCCTAGCCAGGTGACCTGATGAGTCTCAAATTTGGTAAGGATAGCCTTAAGACATTGATGATAAATCGCAATGAATATTGTGAGTTTTCGTTCCACGCTGTTCTGTGGCGACGCATAGTTTGCCATGAAAAAGGAAGCTGATGGTTTAGTGGGTTGGGATGCTCAAAAACTCATGTAACTTTGTACATGTGTCACAGGTCATTGGAAGAAATAGTTTATATGATTTTCTTTATTGGCCGTTTTAAATTGCCTCTATAGCGCCCCCTACAATATTTCAAAAGAGCAGCCCCAGCGCTATGTTTTGGCTACATGTATGAAACTTGGTAAGCACATGTATCCTATGGAGACTTAAAAATAAGTCTCTTGGGACCATGCTCTAAACCCTACCGGAAGTCTGCCATTTTCAATTTTGTATGAATTTATACAATATTTCGACGATGCAGCCCTCACAGTACGTTTCACTGTCTATATATAAAATTTAGATGTATAACATTTGGTAAACAGATGTATCACATGTAGACTGACAAAAAAGCCCCTGGAGCTCTAAGCTCTAAACCCAACCAGAAGTCAGCCATTTTGAATTTAGTGAACAAAAAACACATTTTTGCGAACTCCTACACGCTGGCTCCGATTTCTACGAAATTTGCTGTGGAATACAAGTGGATCTAGATCATCAAAAATTATCAAAATCTTTTTGATATCTCTTTGCGTTTACAAGATATGGACCAATACACTTCTTAGGTGCGTGGCAAAATATCAATACACATAACTTCTCAACCATATGTTCTAAATTCCCAAAATATTCAGCATATGTGCACATCGCATCCAGTAACATACCCTGAGAATTGTTTTGCATTCGACCACTAGGGGGCGCTACAGTAAACCCGCAAAGCCTACTGGCTAAAGGAAATGTCTGATGTAACTCAACTGGACTTGTTCCAAAGGGTCCCAAACTTCTCATGCTTGATAACTTGGGATGGGTATCGCTTGGGTTTTTTTCCGATACCGGTGCTAAAACGATACTTTTAAAACGATACCGGTGCCTAAACGGTGCCTGAACCGATACTTTTTTCTTCAAATTGAACAATATATTAACTGTTTAAAGTATACCATAAATATAAATAAATACAAAACACACACACACACACACACACTCTGTACACACACTACAGCTTCAAACTTCAGCAATTCTTTTGCAGAAATATGAGCATATTTGCGTTCTCTGGCAAAATACGACACCTCTCCTGACTAATTTAATTTACTTTTATTTTACCAGTTGGCGGCGGTAATGCGTCAATTCATCGTTTGCCAACCGCCACTACACCTCACAGAAGAAGAAGGTTTCGCGTGCCTGTGGATGTTGTGCTTATGAGCGCCAGCGCTAAGTACCCGGATGTCGATGGAGGAAGTCAGTAGCCTGCCTGCCGTTTGACAGATCTCGGTCTCGTTTTTTTTTTTTTTTTATAAATCATGGCCGAAGCTTCGCCAGAATGATGGAGGGGTTTGTTTCTAAGCGCGCACGGCTCGTCCGGTTGCAATAATATTATGAGTGAGGAGCGGAGGACCGAGGCTGCCAGGACGGAGTCATCAGAGTAGTGTAAAAAAAGTATTTCAATCCGCTCAGGCACCGAAAGGAAGCACCGAAATCTGCGTTGCGTTTCGGTCCGGTAGATACCGGTCGTATAGGAACCGGTGCCATATTAGCACCGGGTTTCAATACCCAACCCTATTGATAACACTCATGGCCTGAGGATGTCTACGAGCAAATTTTCACTAATACTCACAGCGCCACCTGCTGGCCAAAGGAAATCTGCGTTTTGTGACAAACTCCTCCGATTTACATTACTTTTACACAATGTGGTTTACACTTGACACAGAGCTACATGATGCATGTTTGCACGTGTTCTGTAGCGCCAGGCAGCGGATACAGGAAGCATCGGACTATTTGCAAAGCATCATTTCCAGCATCAGGCGGGATTAAAAACGTCTCGCTCGCGGACGCGCCTTCCGACGGTCGCGGACGTTCTCGGACGCGCAGGCCGGAGTCCCGCCGGCACCCCCGACGAGCTGCAGATTGCGAGGGCCCGTTCATCGCTGCTCGCAGCTTTAATTATTGTTATTATTACGTTGTCTGTAAAATTGCATTTTTCAGGGCTTTATCATACTCAAAAACTCCCCAAATTTGGCAGGCATATCAGGACTGCGTGAAAATTTGAGATTTTATGGGTCGCATACTCATGTATGACACAATGGCTCACTAGAGCCCCCTACAGTTTCACAGGCCACGGCCATCACCCAACATGTCCGATTGACGTGAAATTTGACACACATATTCAGTTCCATCTGCTCTACAATCAACGCACTCTAACTTTGAAGCTCCGCCCATTCAGATTTCCACCATTTTAACTTATGTGAAAAACACATTTTTGCAAACTACTCCTAAACGCTGGGTCCGATTGCTACCAGATGTGATTTGGATCATTATTGAATCGATGTCATCAAAACGTGTTGATAACTTATCGTGTTAAGAAGATATGGACCAATAAACTTATAAGGGGCATGGTCCTCTACATCAATCAACCTAACTTTAAAACCATTCTGCCATCAAATCACGAAATTTGAGACAAATGTCCACATTGCAGCCTGTAACATACGTTCACATTTTCATTTCCTTCAGCCACTAGGGGGCGCTACAGTCGTTAGCTCTTTTTGGCCATTTTTCCTGTTATCAGGCTTTGTATTTTCACGGACGTCTCCTACAGTATTTATGTGATCGGCTTCAAATTTAGTCAGCATGATCTTAAGACTTTTTTAATGAAAAATCACAAGTTTTCATGCAACAACCTTGGCGTGGTGTGGCATCCATTTTGTGCAATTTTTCATGAAAATTGAAGTTGTTGTAACTCCAAGGTACATTGTCAAATCTGCCCAAAATCTCTTTTGCAGGATGCTAGTCCAGGCCTGAAAACATTCCAATGCCTCAATTTTCACAGTCATAGCGCCACGTACTGGCAAAGGGAAATGACAAGTTTTTCACTTCGATGTACTCCTCCTAGCCATTTCACCAGATCAACCTCAAGTTTTAGAAAGAAAGCCTTACGCCATTGATAATAGTTCATCATGAATATTGTGAGTTTTTGGATAACTGTTGCCGCGGCAACGCTTTGTTCGCCATGAAAAAGCAAGCAGATTTTTCTGTGGCTGGGAACACTCAAAAACTTTGTACATATGTCGTAGGTGATTAAATTAAAGATCTCATGTGGATTTTTGGCTTGGTCATTATAAATTGTCTCGATAGCGCCGCCTGCAAATTTTCAACAAAGCAGCCCCAGCACCTCTTTTAACCTACATGTATGAAATTTGGTCGGTACATGTATCATATGGAGACTTAAAAAAAAGTCTCCTGGGAACATGCTCTACAATCAAGCAAAAGTCGGCCATTTTAATTTCTGTGTGAATTTTCCCTTGATTTCTCGTCACTATACTTAACGAACTCCTCCTAGGGACTTTGTCAGAGCCACTTCAAATTCCGACAGTACAATCCAAAGACCTTTGTGATTAAAAGTTATCAAAAGCTTTACGTTTGGTGGAATGGCGTAGCCGTGGCGTGGCGGTCATTTTATGCAACTCCCATTAAACTACGTTTTCAGGCTTTGTATTTTAACAAACTCCTACAGAGTTAATGCGATCAACATCAAATGTGGTCAGGACAATTTAAAGACCTTTATGATGAAGACTTCTCAAAATGGTGAGTTTTCATTGAACGACCTTGACGTGGCGTACTTCGCTCCCATTTTGTGCCATTCGCTATGAAAGGGAGTTGTTGTAACTCCAAGGTACATTGTCCAATCCACCCCAAGTTTCTTATGCATGATGCTGGTTCAGGCTTGAGCACATTTCTGTGACAACATTTTCACAAAGTCATAGCGCCACCTACTGGCAAAAGGAAATGACACGCTTTATACTTTGATAGCCATTTGACCTGATCGACCTCACATTTTGTGAGGCAAGCTTTATGACATTGATGATCCTTCATTATGATTTTTGTGAGTTTTCGTTAAAAGATGATGCCGTGGCAACGCATTATTCATCATGAAAAGGAAGCAGATTTTTCTATGGTTTAGGATGATCAAATAGTCATGGAACTTTGCGTCAAAGGTGATAAACATAAATATTTCCTATGGGTTTTTGCCTTTGCCATAAAACATTGTCTTGACAGCGCCCCCTACAAATATTCTAAAGAGCAGCCCCAGCGGTACGTTACACCTAGATGTATGAAATATCGTAGGCAGATGTATCACATGGAGACTTAAAAAAAGTATCTTAAGACTATGCTGTAAACCATACTGGAAGTCTGTAATTTTGATCTTTGTGTGAATTTTCCATTCATTTTTCACCATTTGTGGGCTCTATACTTTAATGAACTCCTCCTAGGGAGTTTTTCAGAGCCACTTCAAATTGGGACAGTACAATCCAAAGACCTTTGTGATTGAAAGTTATCAAAAGCTTTACGTTTGGTGGAAAGGCGTAGCCGTGGCGGCCATTTTACGTGACTCCCCATGAAGCAGCAAGCTGATGTATCTCCTCTGGACTTGTTCAAATCTGTCCCAAACTTGCCATGCTTGATAACAGTCATGGCCTGAGGATGTCGACAAGCCAATTTTCCATCTAAGTCAAAGCGCCACCTAATGGCGAAAGGAAATCAGCGTTATTTGACAAACAATATCTAATTCAAATGACATTTACATGATGTTGTCTACACTTGATATAGAGCAACATAATGCATGTTGACAGGGGTTGTTTAGCGCCACACAGTGGTGACAGGAAGTGGTGGACTATTTGCAAAGCATAGTTTCCAGGGTCAAATACTCCAAGCAGGAAAAAAACGTCTAACTCGTGGTCGCGTTGTCCGATGGTCGCAGACATTCTCGGCCACAGAAGCCGAGGTCTCGCAAGTACCCCCGACGTACGCGAAGGTGCGAGGGCCCGTTCATCGCTGCTTGCAGCTTTAATAATCCTTTTGATTTCAATAGTGCCTTCGCTGGCCCAACGTTGTCGGTTGCTCGGGCCCTAATTACAATTACTACACACCTCTAAAAGCAACTTTTCTTGTTTCCCACACATGCTCCGTCCTCACCTTTAGTGTGACCTGCAGCAGCTTCAGCTCTTGCTCCAGTAGTTGTAACTCAGGGAACTGTCCTCTATAATCATCCAGAGAGGAAACCACAGCTGCCAGGGCATCTTCAAGCCCACTGTCCACAGGATCATCACCCTCCCTGGAGAGACAATCTGCTCCTTCACCTGGCGTCTCCTCCTCCACCGACACCCGGCGGGCTACATACGTCACGTCCACGCTCTCTGGGCACGTGTTGCACTCTGGCGATGGGTTTGTGTTCATTTGTGACAGAGTGTTAGAGTCCACTACTTCAGTCCTGGGAGGAGAGGATGATAGGACAGAGCCGGACGGGTCCAGTTCCTCCCTGTGTATATCTGTGACGTCGTCAGGTGTTGTGTTTTCTTTGAAGACAGCGAGCCTGGTTGGCGACATGTCAGCGTCTGAGGCAGCACAGCTGGGCGGCTCAGGAGTTCTGCTGGGCAGCTCCATTTCGATGTCATTGACGGAGAGCCCTGAAGCCAAAGACATCACCTCTCCGGATTCGGCTGACCCGTCCGTCAACACGATGCCATCGGTGCTGATTTCACTGATGTGACTCAGAGAGCGCGAGTAGCTGCGGGAGGCATGGCTGTTGGTCGCCGCCCCATCCGCTGTGGTGGAAGACTGTTTCCCTGCGTCTTCTTCCTCGCTGTCAGGTCTTGTCATCACAGTGACCGTCCTCTTTTCCTCTTCCCTGCAAATCAGTTTGAGTGTTAGTTCATGTTAGTATTGACACTATATACTAAGCACGCAACGCATCTCTGTCTCCATGGTCAAATGTAACAATGAATATTATTTAAAAAATGTTACATTATGAGACTGTAAAGTAGAATTTAAATAAATTCCACCCAAAAAAGAAGCACAGAAATTAAAATCAGACTCTACCTGTCGCTCTGTGCTTGGTGTCCGGATGTGTCGGGAACCTCCCTGATGGTGCAGACTTTGTGGGTGGAGTTTGGAGTTGAGGAGGAGGAGTCTCTGGGGCAGAACGAGATGTCAGGCTGTGGGGAGGCACTCCCGCTCACAGCTGGCTGGATGTCTGGTGTTACCACCACTGACTGGAGAGCGAGAGAGATGGAGACACGCTGAGTCACACGGACAGTCCAACCCAACGCAATAACAAAAGGCGTGTCCCATTTGTTCCCCCTTGTTTATGCTCGTTCTGATGTAGAATGATCGACCGGTTGGCTGAACCAGATCAAACCCTCATTGGACAGCTGCTCTACTGCTGTCTTCTGTCTTCTTTTGATTTGTTATTGCATGCTTTCCCTTCACCGAAGATGTTAGATACCAGTACAGGAACTACATTGTGAGACATTGTGTAAATGCAGCTCTTTTATGTTTGAGGAGTTTAGGTACACAGCCTCAAATCTACGGAGAGACTGTTCTAACCGACCGCATCGTCGTTTGCAATGTTAGCTTTATTAGCGCTGTTAGCACCGTTATCTGCAAGCCCGCGGCTTCGCTGTCGTCGTGTTGAAAACCGTGTTAGATATGTTTTGAATTTCAAATTCAGCACTTTTAATGTGAGAGTTAGGGTTAGTTAGGGTCAATGTGGTTTGACAAAATATATTTGTATGTGATAGAAAATCTGAGATTGTTGTAATGAATATCTATTCTTCTATTACATCTCCCAAAATGAACTCGACACAGTTTCTATATTCCATGTCAATCCATGTGTTTACAACATCTGGACAAGCATCGTTATCTTTTGTACGCTTATTCTTCCTAACCAGGAAACAGACCAATCCTGCACATCCTCTTTGATGAAGCTGAGTTTTGACAGAAAAAGGCAAATTCTCATTCCAAGATAGTTTTCTCGTCAGAGAGGAGAAACCTCCAGGTGGAGCCGAGGTGACAATGCTAGTGTTGCAGCACTGTTTCTCACATAATATACCTTCACAGTGATATAATAATTAAACAAAAGTTAATGTTTGATAAAAACTACAGTGGCCAGCAGTTTTAGGAAATACCAAAGCCTTCTTTAAAAATGAAACTAGATATTTGTGAGCAGCTTTTAAAGATGTAACCATAGACTGTATGTAGAACCAATGGGCTGACATGGCTGGTTTTGGTCTGGTCTGATCTGAGAATACAGAGTATCACCCGCATGATCCTTTAGAACCTTTAACTATTGGTAAAGATGAAAACAAATAATGGTTCTTCAACCTGTTAAAAGTGAAAGACAATGTTTGAACAGCCATCAGGGTCGGCTGCATGGATCACCATGATGGAGCAACATGCAGACACATTAGCTTCAGATTCAGTCCCTTCCACTGTTGATCAAACTTACAAACCAATCCTTAACAAAGACGATGACAGCGTGATAGACAGAGAGAAGCGCTGGATAGAATCATAAAGAAGGGTCTTCTGTGTGTGTTACCTTGCGATGTATAGAGTTGCGTAGCCCTCCCACAGAGAGCCGAGGACTGGAGGAGTCATCGGAGGATTCTGATGAATTAGACCACGCTGTTCCGTTCTCTAACTCTTCATGACGGCGGAGCATGTTCTATAAGAGAGCAGCGCTGTGTTAAAGGCTGGACTGAGGAGAAAGTGGTGGCTTAAATGTATGTTCTTGGCGCTTTGACCGCCACAAGCAGAGCGTCATCTAGTCCCATTATATTCAAGAGGAGGCAGACAATCTGGATTGATAAATAGCACTAGAGGAAAGAGGAACAATATGTGTGTTAGATGTTGGGGTGAACTGTCCCATTAACCTGTAATTCCATTGTGCTTTCCATTATTTAAAATCCTGGAGGCTAATTGACAAACAGGCCTCACTTCCATTCTGGATCCGGGCCACGAGCTTCAACAGACTGACAGCTGGCATTCCGGCCAACACCACACTGCAGACTCAGTGAGCTGCACGGCAGCCCAGCTGGCCGGTTCCCACAGTTCACACACATAGTGATTACTTTCGCTGTGTAAGACTCTGGATTCTTCCACTTTGCTGATATGTCACACATCACACGTCAACAACATTTAAGGAAATCTGTTGGTTGGGTTCAATTGGATCGACAGCTTTTGATGATTCAGGGTGCATCCGATTAAACAATCTGGCAAACTCAAATACACAGTCATTCATTCTCTTCAGTTCATATAACGTGCAGCGTTCAACTCTGCCTTGTTCTCTTCCATTCTGCTTCAGTGACCACATTTGTAGAAAAGTGAGCGTACTGCACAAGAACAGCCGAATGGAAACGGATATGTCAACAGAGAACCTTGAGGCAAACAGAGCTCAGTGGACACACTCCCAAATGTATATCAACGGGAAGTCTCAGAGAACGTCTCCCTGTTAAACTGCTATGGGATGTTGCAACATACTAAGACCTGGGGACCAAACAAACTACTGAAAGTAAGTTGATCAATGTGCCAAAATGAATGGAATTGTTATAAAAGCTGCTCTATTGATATAAATATTTGTGAGACTACATTGTTTTAATGACAGGGGCATCAGAATGCTCACTAAATTATTGAAGCTGCTACAAACTGACACGGTGTGTTCCAACACCCACACTACCAGAAAAAAGATGAAGTGTGTCCCAATACATAACATGTCAAATGCAGTATGCCAACAGTACCAGGATGTCCTACTGCATCCAATCACATTGTGCACTATGCACGCCAGCATTACTAGCTATTCTGACCCACAATCCTCTACACAGCGGATGTATGAGAAAGAGGGTCAAAGTTCAAGATGCAATGTTATGAGGAAGTAGTGAGGAGGTAGTGAGGAAGTAGTGAGGAAGTAGTGAGGAGGTAGTGAGGAGGCAGTGAGGAAGTAGTGAGGAGGCAGTGAGGAGGTAGTGAGGAGGCAGTGAGGAGGTAGTGAGGAGGTAGTGAGGAGGCAGTGAGGAAGTAGTGAGGAGGCAGTGAGGAAGTAGTGAGGAGGTAGTGAGGAGGCAGTGAGGAAGTAGTGAGGAGGCAGTGAGGAAGTAGTGAGGAAGTAGTGAGGAGGTAGTGAGTCCCAGCTGAATGTATACTGAACAGTTGGTAGCTTGTGAGGGCGGATATGGTTTGTATTAAAAGTAAAAACAATGTGCTTTGTAACGCAGCACCTAACTTCAACGTATCGACCAGAAACATGACAACATTACAAGTCATCAGTCATCATACTTATCATAGCATTGTTACACAAGGCCTCAGTGTGCTTCAAACTAGGTGCTTTTCGGATCGCCTAACAGCATTTGAAACACATTTTACAACGCTGGAATCAAAAGAGGGCTGTGTCCTTCTAGTTCCTTGTGACCTTTCAAAATAGACGACGTGACGATCACGTCCACTTTGTTTGTGCAGTGCTTGACCGGGTGTGCATAGGTGTGAAAGGAGGTGGGGGCTGGAACTGCTCTCTCAAGCTTACTTTTGTCATTTTCCAAACAACTGCTTCCCTCACAGTTCATACTTAGGAAGAGCAACACCATGAATGACCTTAAGGGGAGAATGAAAAGCTTCGCATGTTGCGTTTGTTAACTAAAAAGTTGATGTGTGTTTTGGGCTGATGAGACAAGATACGTTAGAGGAAGGCCAAAGTCCACCGCCGCGAACACCCTGCGTCAAAAACAGCCCCCCCTATTCATTTTAATAATCTACAACCTCCACAAGGAAGGGACTCGTGGAGCTGCCATCCATGCCCCTGTCGTATTTCCTGTCTCAAAGAAAACTAAAACTGCCCAAACATGGCAACGTTTTGGATTTGAAGCCAACAAAAGAGGTGAACCAAAAGACCATAGACTTGCTTTACTGCCACAAGGTGGACTGGCGTCGCTACGCTCTCCTTCATGGTCTCTCTCTCTAGTCTAGTGTTACACATAGTAAGTCAAATTGGTGGACTTTCCCTATCCAGTGTTTGGTGTGATATCACACCGGTTTGAAAATGATTACATCGGCCCGACCCAACTATTCAGAACACGTAGAGTCACTTCGTCGTGGTCGGATGACGAAATGTTGTTTGAGATGTAGGGTTCAAATTCCGAGCTTTTAAAGGCATTTTTCATCAGTTTCTAAGGCCTTCACACTCAGCAGCACCTTTGAGAGATGTTCAAGGAATAAAGGATGATTCCTGTTTTATCAACTTAGGTGTTGCAATCATAGTTTTGACCATAATTTGTATCACTTATGATAAGTAATGGTTGGTATCTGCGATACCACTACACTGAAGTTCGATGCAGTCAGACAATCAGACGGGTTGTAAACACACCAAGAGTTTATCCAGATTATCTAAAGCACTTTGTTTGGAGGTCAAACTGAAAGTGAGCGCAGCTGAAAGGTCAGTAATAATCCTTTGCTCACAAAACTGTGCTCGCACAAGCATAGTTGGTACATAGCTGTACAGTAGGTGTAAGCCATAGTCTGTATATAAGAAGTGGACGTAGTCATCGTGACGTCATTCATTGGTTTGTGGACTGATGTTATGAAGCCTCGAGTTCTGCGATTCGCCATCTTGGATCATTATTGGACATGTTGGGTTTTTGGCAGCCAATGAACAGAAGTGACCATATTTGGACTGAGGAGGAGTGACGTAGAGACGTATAGACCTGTCAATCACTGTGTAGCCCCGCCCTAAAGCATACCCTGCTTTATGGTCTGTTTGACTCTAAATGGACCATAATGTACTAAATGAACATCATGCTGTATTGAAGAAGACTTGAAACTAGAGATTGAGACCATAAACTCATGTTAACAATGTTTACTGAGGTAATAAATCAAGAGAGAAGTAGAGTCATTTTCTCATAGACTTCTATACAACCAGAGGAGTCGCCCCCTGCTGGTCACTAGAGAGAATGCAGCTTTAACACATGAAGCTTTGACTCCACTCAGCAGAAACTTTGATCAATGTTTATATTGGACTTTTTTTTACCATTCATCATTCATCTCTCTTTCAAACAAGTTCACCTGGAGGTTTGTTTGTCTGGCTGTCTCACAGGTTTACACTGTCAGAACTTCATCAGAACATCATACAGAGTTATAGGTCCACGATTCTCCAAGGTTCATCCTCAGAAAGTACTGTCAAGGTTCTATTGGGAGGTTGTAGTTGCCCTATAGGCCAGTGGGGAGTCATATGTATGCAGATCTTCAGTTTGACCAAACACCAGATTTCCCCTTCCTGCTCTCAGTGAAATCAACTGAAGAGATGTTTGGAAACCTTGCATACATATTTCCACAAACAAACGGAGACTACTGTTCTAGGTTCTACACCACCATTACTGTCACTAGTCAATATTCCAGTGGGCTGTGTGTTCCTACATGCTGCCGGGGTTCTACTCCGTATTGACTTACTGCAGTGGGCGGTCTTGTTGGTGAGCTGTCGCTACAGGAACAGCTCTGGCTAAGTGTGTCTCTGAAGATGTCCAGCAGCGGCCAGTGCTGCCGCCTGGTCACACTCCGAGGCAGAGACTGCACGTCAAAGTAGCAGCAGGTGGAACAAAAGGGAAAGTTAGGGGCCGCTGGCTTGCTGGCTAAAACTCAAATTGTCCCTCGACGGCAGCGGATCTAAACCACGAGATCTGAACTCCTGTTCTCCGCAAGTACACGGCCAATTCCAGACGTGATGAATACGATCAATTCTATGATGAAAAGGTTTTTGCTTCTTGTTTTCACATCAATTACCTTTCATGAATAATCTACAACAACTCAAACAAACTGCATGCATTACAGTCTGTGTAAAGAAGGGATGTGTTTTCTCCTCAGCTCCTCAGTCTGAACCACTAATCAAACATAAGGGGAGTGAATATCACACAAAACAGCAAAATAATCCAGATTCTAAAAGCATCAGTGGAACATGACTCTGGAGAGACGAGTGTAAAAGTGAAGCCAACAGATTACAAGAGAACTCACGTAGAAGGCCTGTTCACGTAAAGATGGCGTGTCAGGAGGACTCTGGTTGAAGATGGTTGAGAGTCTCTTACTGACGGTTGGAGCTTTGTTGACAGTGCTTGCCACTGACCCCTGGTCATCTTTATCAAATGGACTGACAGAGAGGGGGAAAGGAATGGAGGCAGGGGAAGACAGAGATAAAAGATTAAATTAATAAATATTCAATATAATATTTAAAGCAACAATAAGGAACTTTACTTTTGTGTTGATTTTGACGGTCCCTGTGGACAGAAGAGGTAGTATTTGCGAGCACCAGAGTCCCTTAAGACAACCTCTCATTTTACTGCAGCAGGGTCTCAAAGTTTGCCTAGCGCAGTCCTTGATCTGGTTCGCCACGGCGGACCCGTCTCTGCTGGAGGCCACGCTGGAGTCAGAATCAGCTTTATTGGCCATGTATGCATACGCATCCTTGGAATTTGACTCTGTTTCCACTTCGCTCTCAATGTACATACACAAGTTTACAATAAACAAGAAACATATATATATCAAAAATAAAACAAGGGCAAAAAAAACAACAAGTAGAACAGATGTAGCTATAAACATTTAACAACTATGTACATTATAAGTATAAATATATATCCAAAAAAGTATATACATATGTATATATGAACATAAACCTATAAACAACAATGGCAATGGAATTGAGGTGATGTGTAAGTGGTGATGATAGTGCAGTATGACTGATCAAGAGTTCATCAGAGTGACGGCCAGCAGAAAGAAGCTGTTCCTGTGTCTGGTGGTCTTGGCGTACAGAGCTCTGTAGCTCCTACCAGAGGGGAGGAGGTGAACAGCTTGTGTCCAGGGTGTGATGGGTCTGCAGTGATCTAAAGCTGAGCTGAAGGAGGTTCTGGTGAACCTGCATGATTTCATCTGGTTTCACCAGAATCTGACCCGATGGCACCGATGCCGAGCATTAAGAATAACTCTATAGAAACAGACCATCTTCTCTCTGATGGTCTCTTTACTGATGGAGGTCTGATAGAGGATCAGGACTACACTGAGACTGGTTCAGGACCAGTTAAACAGTAACTTTAAGCTATGTTAATGAATAACCCTTCATCTGAACCAACAGTACAGGACTCATGAGGCTCAGGATCATTCTCAGTACACCAACATGATTGTTGGCCAAACTTACTTCCAGGTGACCTCCAGGCTTAGTTTAATAGTCCCAAGGTCATTAATATCCACGGCAACCGTCTGGGGGAGTGCAGCAAACAGATCCTTGGTCTCGCAGGAAACACTCCCGACAACCACGTGATTGGCTAAGCTCTTCAGCTCCGTCACCTAGGAGATCACAGAAGCATAGTTTGATCACACGACCAGAGTCTGGCTGCCTTCAACAGGTCCACTGTGTCAATCACAAAGGGTGAGACCTTTACGCTGTCAAGCTGCAGCAGTAGCAGTAACAGCATGATCGTCCTTATCGCCATCAGAGACGTAAAAGGTGCTATACATACATATATATATATATATATATATATATACTGTATGTACGTATATATATATATATATATATATATATGACCAGGGACAACATGAAGTATGCATAGGCTGCCGTATACTAAGTATACATCAAAATAAATCCACAGTCATTAAAACAGACACATGGAGGGACTGACCTTAACACAGAGGGACTGACCTTCACACAGAGGGACTGACCTTCACACAGAGGAACTGACCTTCACACAGAGGGACTGACCTTCACACAGAGGGACTGACCTTCACACAGAGGAACTGACCTTCACACAGAGGAACTGACCTTCACACAGAGGAACTCACTGACCAGCGGCACGAACACCATCTCTTCACTGTCCCACACCTGTTTGCCATTGATCTCTATTCTGCCGCGGAGCTTCCACCGCTGCCTGCCGTACTTCATAAAGATCTGAACACACACACACACACACACACACACCAGTCTCAGTTGTGCCTGTCAGCAGAGCTGTGTGTATACTTTGTGTCCGACAGTCAGCTTTTAGTCTCTCACTCACAAACTGACAGAAATAACACAAAGTCAAATATAGTGCTATCCGGCCCTGATATGATGGTGTACTATAGCAACCTACCTCACCACAGCCCAAAATAAATGTTAAACAACATATTAAAGCTACTACAAGGACATTTAATTGTGTGTTGATTTGGCGGTCCCTGTGGACAAAAGTGGAAGTGTTTCCAGGCACCAGATTCTCTTTGGGAAACCTCAGATTGTTCGGCCCCATGCAGTCGCATCTGCTTCCACAGGTCATATAGAGGTATCACTGTTAAATTGATACTGCTTCATAACCAGTTAAAGTTCCTTGTAGTAACTTTAACAACAATTATAACTATAACAATAACAATAAACATAGACAGATGCCATTATCATTTGTGTTCATAACTCATAGACATCTTGGTCCTTTTCTGTGTATTGTATAATATTCTTAGTATTTAGATTGGTTTGGCAAAACTCTATGTGATTATGGCCATTCCAATGAGAGAGAGAGAGAGAGAGACAGAGAGAGAGAGAGAGAGAGAGTAACTAACCTCATACTGGTCACCAGCACACAATCGAGCAAACCCAGCCAGACCTGAAAGACAAACAGAAGCAGATGGAGCATCAAACACTATATTCTCTCTATTTTAGGGATTTCTTCTGCATCAATTTATGGTGGAAATACATTTATTTATGTGACGCGAAACATAGAAGTTCAGGCACCAGTTGAATACATACATCATAGAATATGATGAAATATAATGAGGTCAGGCTCTCAGCCAGTCTGTATCGCTTTCTCACATTTATTCTCCTGGAGATCAACTTTCCTCATTTAATGTTATTGAGACGTGATTTACTCTTCAGTCCTTTGTTCTGTCTGTTGTCTCTCTAAATGTGCAACATACTGGAACTGTAGTAAGAAATGAAGACAGTTGGTCAATTGATGATTATGATCTGAATATTTCTGAGGGTGCAGTAGCACTGTTTTTAATCAATACATAAAGAGGGACATCTTAGGATGTGTCCCCCACAAACACATTAAAATGACATGTTTGCTTCATATGTGATGTTGTTGTTGCACGTCTAAGACGAGGAACAGACTCATTCAAGAAGAGAATGAAAGAATAGAGGATGAGAGGAAGGAGGAAGAGTGGAGACACACGAGTGAATGAGCCAGATGTTTCCTTCTTACCTTTCATCCTGATGTGGAACTCCCCCAGCTGGTTCTCCAACTCGCTCTCCAACAGACACATGTTCTGTAGAGAACATGAGAGAGGGAGACTTTAGCTGTGATACGTTACATCCTATGTAACATCCTGCTCTTTGTTTAGTGCCCTTCTCCTTGCTCACACAATGGCCCTTTTCTCCCACAGTACTTTTACCATTTTCCTCCCTTCCATCTTAGTCCGCTTCCTCCCTCTACCTCTCCTCTCCTCTGTCCTCTTCGTCTTACCTCTGTGTACTCTTTGTATCCTTTATTGGCTTCTGCTAAACTCTCCCTGGCCTCCTTGCTGATCTGAGAGGCAGTGTAGGCCTTCACCATCTTGTTGGCTCCGTCCCGGAGTCTCCTCTGCAGGCAGTAGGCGTCATAGAGCTCCTCGATCTGGGGGAGAGGGGGAGAGGGGACATGTTTCATCCTCCTACCCAAAGAAGAAAGCAGCCTCAAGGCAGGTGGAAAGGTCAACATGTACTTACCATTTTCAATCATTACACCCAACACTATGCAATATATTTATGTCAAATCATTGCACTCAGACACTTTAAACTAGAACCTTTGTGATGCTGAAAGGCATTGTTGTTTGAGGGGATCCCGGTGGTCTTACCTTGCTGAGGTGAAACTCCAGTCGTCGTATGTACCTCTCAGTCACCTTCACTTGCTGTCAGAGGGAAGAGGAGTCACATGGTCAACACAAACAGAGTCCAGCTGCAGGCTCAGGTCAGCTCATGCCTTCTACACTGAACACTGGTGCCTCCAGTCACTTGCAATGTAGTGAGGTTCATTTCTTTGTTATAGACCGTCAGCACTTCCTACATATGTTTCAAATTAAAAGCCGAGCAGGAAATGATGCCCTTTAAACAGTTGAAAGGCTTTTAATGTGCAGGACGTGTTCAGATTCACTGAGGTTAGTTTTACAGACATAAACGATCCCAGAGAAGTCAAAGTGACTTTAGATCATTGGTGTAGAGCAGCAGAGCAGTAACTGTGACTGAAGTATCTCCATATACCTAAAGGTTCCCGTACAATACTCAGAGCAGAAAAACAACTATTGTCTATGAGTCGTGTAGCGGATCCTCGCTGATCCGTGATCCGTACAGACCCCTCATGGTTCAGCACACAGTCTAACGTTAACATCACAGTGTGAAACAAAGTCCTTATCCACCAATATTCAGTAAAACATGTGATCAGGACATCATTCATGCTTCTGTTCACTGGTCTCTGATAATGATACAATGTTTAAACTGACACAAGGAGAGCTGGTAACGTTAGCACACCGCTAACGGCTAACCGACAGAGGTTCACTTCAGGTACATCATGATACCTTCAGGCTCTGCTCAGTGAACATGAGGATTGGGAAAAGGTAAATTATAAAGTTATCATGATGTGTTCACATGTAATCTTGTTGTTTGAAGGAGATGTTTTCACCGCAACATAAAAAGATATTAAAGATGAATTATGAGCTGTTTACACTACCTCTATGCAGATTATAATACTTTATTAAAACTACTAATGACAAGATTGGTTTTTATCAATAAAAATACAATCTTTTATTTCCTAATCATTTGAATTGTGTCGTTTTATGAAGAAAGACCAGCTGCTCAAACAACAAGGGGATCTGTATCTGCCATTATTACATTACATTACAGTCATTCAGCAGATGCTTTTATCCAAAGAGACTTACAATTCAGATTCTATCACATTCACACCGTAGGCACAGGAAGGGTTAGGTGTCTCGTTCAAGGACACATCGACATGCGACTAGCGGAGCCTGAGATTGAAGGACGGCCCTGCTCTCCACTTAGCCACAGTCGTATGGATGGATCATCAATGACCATCAATGATCATCAATCAGTATAAGCTGCAGAAACACATGATCAGGGATCTCTAAAAGTCACATTTCATCCCTTTTTTCTTTTGTGCTGATGCAATGTGTGATCCAATCTGAACTGTGAGTTTTATGATCCGTTGCACAACTACTGTCTCTGTAAAGACATGTGGAGTAACGTCTACCTGATGAGGGAATGAAGTCTTTCTCCCTCTGTATGCATCGTTTTGTTTAAATACTACTGGTTAGCTCACTCTGCACTGCTCTCATACAGCTGATAACACCGTCCTGACCGACGGGGTCGTCGTGGAAGTGTAACGCCCAGCCTCCGGTTCCCCCTCATTGAAACACTGTTAGCACCGTTAGCTACTAGCCGCCGGCTCAGCCGGCCGTCGCAATGTTGAGAGCCGTTGAAGAGATATGCTTTGAATTTCATATAGAGCACTTTTTTTTAAAACAGGAGGAATTAGAAATGAAGACCTGTCTCTGATATAAACCTGCCAACGTTCTCTCTACAGTTGAGGGAAGTAGGTAAGAGTTGACAGTAGCTCACCTTGTCCAGTTCATACAGGAAACCCTGTAGAGGCAGAGAACATCAGGTCATCAGTATCTCTGAGATGTTTAATCACTACACTCTTTATGTTATAATAATATAATGAAATAATAGTGCCTGTGTCCACATTAGACATAAGAATATTCTCATACGGTTGGGCTTGAACAGGTACAGTAGAGCCAGAACATACCAGTCTGGAGTTCCTCTTTGATTCTTTCATCTGTCTGCTGAGGCTATCCAAGTCCATCTGATGAACCTGCAGGTAGGACCTGAGAGAACACACACACACACACACACACACAGTGTCAGAAGTATGAAGTGGATGAATGTATCTAACCAAGCAGATATCTCTGGTTCTTTGTGCACTAACGGACCATCTCTCCCTGCCAGCGATCCCTTTGGGCTGCTCTCCAGGATTCATCACTTCTTAAAGGTCCCATATTGTAGAAAGTAAGATGTCTCTTTTTATTATAATAAAGCAGGTCTAGGTGCTATATAAAGACTGTGAAGGTATCAAAATGCTCGTTCCACAGAGAAATGCACACAGCCCGTATTCAGACACTGTGCCTCTAAAGGAGCCGTCAGGACCGTAACGTTGTGATGTCACAACTATACGGTCACCGGTAGAAGTGCAGCTCAAGTTTGTATAGTTGACTCACACAGTGAGTCACCGGCTACAGAGACACTGTGAAGATGGCGACAAATCAGAGCAGACTGGGCTTTTTTCAGGAGGGGTTCTTAAAGAGACAGCCGCTAAAACAGAGCATTTCTGACAGAGTGAATACACCAGTGGTGGGCGTCAGGGCCAGCAACGCCTTCTCTGCTGGCCTAAACACAATCACAAAGTTATATCTATTTTATAATTTAATAATTTTTCTTAAATACACTACATGTATTATAATTTATATAAATATTTTTCCCATTATCTTATGTTCTCATTGCACAGCTCCTGTCTTCCTCAGTTGCTCTGCTTCCAGTGCAGCTTGTTTTAAGTAGAGCTTTTATCCAATCAGAGTTCACCTCTGTGTCTCTAGGTAAGAACAGAGGCCCGAGGCCTGCAGACTCACAAGTGCATCTATGTGCAGTTTAAGTGAATGGGGACGATGTTGTTGATTGTCATAGTGTTCAACCAATCAGATCTTTAGTTTGACATGTTGGGCGTATTCTTTGACGTGTCAGAGCCTGCTAGCTGGTCTACAACTACGTCAGCATTACGTGCAGCTCAGTTTCCAGGTGCAGCTCTGCAGTGAGGTGCAGCGTGTGCTGTGATTAGTCAGTGGGCGAGCACGTGACTATCGTGAAACGAAACTTAAAGTAGCCATCAAAGCTTAGTCGGAGTAGTGAGAGTTCAAATTGAAAGATATGGAAGAAATGATGACATTTTTAGCATTTTGCTTGGTGTAGATTATTATTTTTTTACCTAGCTTTGTTTTTTAACACTCAATGGCTGAAGGAGGAGAAACAGATTTGTGAGTTGGGATTTAACCGGATTAAACTCTTAGTCAACAGAGAAAGGAGGATGGAGTTTGTCTTTAAATCAACTGCGTTTGTTTTTTTACATCTAATATCTGAATGGCCCTCGAGTGTGCAGCAGAATGCGTGTTGCTGCAGGTCTGCTGGATTGATTTGTTGCTTTGTTGTCATATGAATATATGTGACTGGTTCTTGTGAGTTTGTTGTTGTCATTGTGTTAATTATATTGATTTTGACTATATGCATTGTCCGTTAATTGCGAAGCACCGTCATGTGCGGAGTTATTGTCCGGACAATAGAATCAGTTTGGGCTGTTTTCTTTCACAAAGCAAGAATTATGGTCTGGAGAAATGTGGATTGTGTGGTGATTGCTTTAGCCCTGTTTGAATCCGTCATGTGCAGAGTTATTGTTTGTTAAGCTAGTTTAGCGTAGCCTCCCAGAATTGCGGGGCCTCAGTTGTGTTTTTTTTAGTTTTTTGTTCTGGGTTCAGAGGTCACAGCACGTTGTCTCCTACGTGAGCGCAGAAAACATTATATTTCCCACAATTTAAGCTTCTGCATTTTCCAAACACACTAGTATTATTCAAACGTATTGTTCGGTTCGTAAGCCTCGTACCGAACGGTTTAATACGAATACGTGTGTTCAAAAATGCTTTTTGAACAATAAAGCTTGTAAACATGTTGTAGTAGTAGTATGAACCTGTAAATGGGCATGATATGTCTCCTTTAAAGAAAATGAATTGGGGCTGAGTGCTCCGTGTGTTTCTAACAACAATTGGAACATTTTGTAAAATAAATGAAACAAAGAAGACACAGCGTGTTAATGGGTGAGCTGTAGAGGTGTTGGTCAGAGGAAGTTCTTAGGACGGAGCCAAACTATCTGCTTCCAGTCTTTACATTAAGCTAAGCTAACGGTCTGCTGGCTGTAGCTTCATACTGAACGGACAGACATGTGAGTGCTATCAATCTCCCAAAATGTCCTTTGAGTGTAAACCAATGGTGTATTGGTGAAGGAGAGAAGGACAGTTTGGTTTGACTTCACTGGTTGTACTATTCCAGAACTTCAATTGCACATTTGATGGGATCTCTAAGCCTCATGTTAGCATTAACAAAACTCTTTTTGTATCAGCTTTTTCCAGTGTGGGCGTACTTGAGTTTATTTCATTTATGTATTTATTTTATTTTTCTATTGGAGCCGATTATTTAAAGTTCATCTGTGAAACCTTTTTAATACATAGACATGGAAATGATTGCTATCATTCTATTATTTTCACTAAATCAAGTCCGGCAGATTTATTGTCAACCCATGAATGTTCCTTTGTCCTGAACCTAAACACTGATATAATGTAGAAACACTTACATTATGTAATAATAATAATATGATATTGCAGAAATATCCGTCAGTGAGTAGGAGTCACTTGTGCTCCTAGTGACTGCGATATGATCCCATATGGATGTGTGTTTGAGTGCACTCACTGAAGGCCTTTCTTCAGGGCCTCATAGACCTGATCCAGTCGCTCCGGTTGAGGAACCTTAGGTGGTGGGTTGGACTTGGCGGACATGGTGAACATCCTGCTGGCTCTGCTGGGCTTCCTGCTGAGACCTGGAGCGCTGAACACCGAGAGGTTCCTGCAACAACAGCAGCATCATCCTTTAAATGTCTTCGATCAGCCGGATCAAACCCTGCTTTATCTGACAGCATTGTCGCATCACATGAGTCACAGCTCACATCACTGTCTGTCTGTCCATCTGTCTCCAATGCAGATTGTTCATGTTATATGATATTTGTCTCGTCATCGCTAGATACCAAATTATTCTATTTTAAACAGCACCTATTGTTATAAAAACATGTCATCTTATCTTGTTACATCGTCCTGTCATCACACACAATCAACCAATCAAATCTCGTTACATCACAATGTGGGTGTAACATAATAAATTGGTACGCTGGTAGAACAAGAAGCTTCTGTTTAAATTAGTTATACAGTAAACAGAGTTATGTCAACAGTGAAAAAATAAGCATTTTATCGCTACGCATCTTGTATTATCGAAGTAATCCATAATGAAATGTAAGAACAGTATTTTGGGCCACGGTTATACTGGTGGGCCAAGTACCAGTTGTCCCTGTTGATTGAGTCCATTAAAACGTTTCACTTATTTAAAGCTACTATGAGGAACCTTTGGCGGTCCCTGTGGACAAAAGAGGTAGTGTTTCTGAGCACCAGAGTCCCTTTGGAAATCCTCTAATTTTACTGCAGCAGCGGTCTCACAGTCATCATGTAATTTTCCAAACATATTGAAAACCTTCCAAAATAACATACATACTGCTTTTACTCAAGTATCTTGCTGTTGTTGGGGGGGAAATACTAATTTTTACAGTCCAGGTATTGGCTCTCCTTCCCTCAGACGGGTCCAGACTGGACCTCCGAGCTGGTCTCTGCTGGAGTCTAAGCTGAAGGAGGTTCTGGTGAACCTGCATGATTTCATCTGACTTCACCAGAATCCGACCCGGTGGCTCCGATGACGAGCATTAAGAATAACTCTATAGAAACAGACCATCTTCTCTCTGATGGTCTCTTCACTGATGGAGGTCTGATCGAGGATCAGGACTACACTGAGACTGGTTCAGGACCAGTTAAAGTTCATCTTGTAACAAGATAAGTTGGGTGTTGTTCGTTCCTTGTTTTCATGAGATATGTTGGTAAATTGTAATATAGAGAAAGTTGAACACCATAACAAGATAAAGAGAAATATTGTTATAACAAGAAACATTTATTTTTATTACTGAATAATGTGATTTGCAATGAGGACGAACATAATGTCATCATACAGTAAGATGAACAATGCTGCTGTAGTTTATGGCCAGAAACACTTTGACAAACATCGTAATTCTTTCAAGGTTAAGTTATAATAATCCATGTTGGACTACTTCACACCTGTATGAACACACACACGTTTACTTAGCTCACTTTTGGGGACATTACATTGACTTACATACATATTCTAGAGACTTCTCAATCGGACAAGCCACTCCCATTTAACTGGTCTCCAGCCTGAAGCATGTCCTTAGAGGTAGTTATGAACACACAGAAACACACACACAGTCACACTGTCTGTCTCTTGAGCTCCACCTGACAGGATGTCCTGTCGAGTGTGTACTTCCTCAGAGCATGTGTGTGTGTGTGTGTGTGTGTGTTTACCTGTAGGCCTTGTCGTAGGTGTTGACTCCAGTGTAGCTCTGGCTCCTAGTGATGGATCTGGAGGTGAGGCGTCTGACTGGGCGAACAGACAGCGACATGGTGGACAGGGTTCGGGATGGACTCCCTGTACAGAGAGGAGGAGAAGAACCATCAACAGACTGCTGACATCATAGACCGTGACCAACTGATCGGCCATGTTTTTCTCTCGACCACAGCGCACAGTGATAGTTGTGTGGTGGTTTGTGTGAGTGGTTATCTGTCAGCATCGACAGATTAAAAACCTGTTCACTTTCAATAACTAACCATCAGACCGGGGGGGATTTAAACTGTGAGTGACTTCACATGGAACATAACTTACACGTCTTGTCGTTCTTTCTCTAGTGGGCATCTTCCCATCTGATCGGTGGTTCTGTGATTGGTGTGACGCCAGCTCTCCCCTGCCTGATTTGGAGTTAATACAGCTCTCTTAAATTTAAGAAATGTGATAAATAGCTTTTACTCTTAAAAGAAGTAAAAGTGAAGGCTTTTTATTTTACCTTTCACTTAAGTCCAAATTTGAACTTACAGCTCATCATTGTATATCAAACCAGAAAGGACCGCTGAAAACCCAAACTGTGGCTCTCTGACTCGTTTGCTGCTGGAAGCACTGACGCGTATCACGTGTCATGTGAATAATCTGCCATTTCAGTGCACTGCCACCTATTCAGTGCTGTACAGTACTTTTTATAGTCGCTCCTTAACTTAACTTGTACTAAAGTGTATAACATTTGTTAGAAAACAGGGTTTTCGGTAGAGTAATTTAAAACACTTACTAGTTCATCAAGATTACCAACCCTGCCTTTCAGCCAAAATAAGCACAAGGATAACTTGATCAGGTGCTCCAATCGATCAGCCACTGATTGTTAACGTTCCACCTGGTTTGATCGGTGGTCTCTATAGAGGCCGGACTGAAGAGCTCAAATGATTCCTGTACACACCACTGGGGTTGTAAGTTGTGTCTCTAAAGCCCCTTTCACACAGCCTGTTAAAGGAGCCACTGTTCATCGTTATTCCGCTTCGCTGTTCTGTATAACGGGGGGGGGGGGGGGCGCTGCTGTTCAGCCTCTAAGCCGGCACTAGAGTTAGTCACGGAGCCGAATCGACTCTGTGGACTGGTAGCTGGTTCTGAGTGTAGCCGATGCAGAGTCAGGTTGTATAGAAGTCTATGAGAAAATGACTCTACTTCTCTCTTGATTTATTACCTCAGTAAACATTGTAAACATGAGTTTATGCTCTCAATCTCTAGTTTCAAGTCTTCTTCAATACAGCATGATGTTCATTTAGTACATTATGGTCCATTTAGAGTCAAACAGACCATAAAGCAGGGGATGCTTTAGGGCGGTATACTGCATCTCTACGTCACTCCTCCGCATTACAAAGATGGTAACTTCCGCTCATCAGATGCAAAAAACATGGCGTCAAAATCGCAGTACTTGAGGCTTTAAAACAGCAGTCCATGAACCAATGAGAGACGTCACAATGACAATGCCCACTTCTTATATAGTGTCTATGCATCTACCCTTTGAGCTGTTCCACAAAGAGGGACTACTATGTAATATCTGCAACACAGCACAACAAGACCAACAGTGCAGTGAGTCTCCTCAGGTAACACGACTGGCTGATTAGGTCCGATGAGTTTCAGGGGTCACAATGTCCATGTTAACCTTTCATCATCATATTATGAATCTAAAATCAAGAAATGTATCATTCTCAGTCAGGACCTCCAGCATCTGGAGCATGCAGATGTGAAACATAAGCGGTACAAAGTAAGTATCTGTTAACTCTAACTGGGTCTACAAGTTAGGACAGAACATAGGCTCTTAAGTCCAGCCCGGAAGTCTGTGATGGGACTAGTGTGATGCTAGTTGTGTCATCCCATGAATGAACAGCTGATACAGCAAGTGTTGTTGGTATGACGAGCTGGAATAGCCTCTGATGCTACAGTCCATCATCCAGAAGCGTTTTGCATCAATATCATGTCTGTTATAATGGCTACTATCAGAACCACAGTGGCTGATATCTGGATACATTGTGACGACCACTTTGTATGTCTGTTGCCAGCAGCAGTGATTTGTTACTGTGGCTTGAGTCAGCGGTTAACTTCTGTCAGCTGAAGCAATGTTTTCCTACTGTGGCCGATCCAGCGTCCTGCATCCTGTTGCTCCAAACTGCTGAAAAGCCTTTGCAAGACGACCCCCCCCCACGTCCTACAGTACAGGAAATGTCACTATCCTACAGGAAGTCAGACGCAACTGCCTCTCCTGACAGGAAATTGAACAAAGGGAGATAGTCCTGAGGGCTGCAGTCATCTGGATGAAGAGAAAAGGTCAGCTCTGCTGGAGCTTAACGAGCGATGTGAAGAGTACTTCTATATCGATTGTTGTACAACTTTCACGTCAAAGTTTTAAGTAATGAAAAAAAGATTGTTGAACATGTACTCTGAATAACAAGGAACAATTCAAACTGTCAGTAAAAGTATTAAAATACTCAAAATAACAGTAACAGGATTTAAACAGGAGTCAAAGTAATTACTTACTTCCACCCTTAACATCCTAAAGAATGTGTGTGTGTGTGTGTGTGTGCTGTGGGACTCATTTGTTGACTTAACCTAGTTTAAGTCCTCACACAGAGGAGCTGGAGGGGAGGAGGCAGAGATAAAGGCAGACACAGTTCAGAGAGAGAAGCAGAGTGGACAAACAGAGCAAGTGGAAAAGTCGGGTCAGCCCGGCACATTCAGGACACTTCCCTCTTAGAGTTCCTGCTAAATCATCATGTTCTGTTGTCACAGCAGTTCTCTCCCTGACAGTCTACAGAATAAGTGACAACACAGTCTGCTTACAGTCAGGAGTCCATCTGAAACATGTGGGTCTTATATCAATGAGTTCTACAGCTGTCGGTCTGTTATTGATGCCAGCACATGGTGGAGAATAAAGGAGAGACGTCCTACGACACTTTGATAATGATGGTGTCAGCTTCTCCGAAGGAACTAAATTCTCAAACCACAGCAGGTCTGTGAGGCTGATCTACAGTACTTGCTAATCTGGCTCATGGCATGTTCAGTTTAGTTTGAGGCACTGTACTGTACTGGAAGCTGGGGTGGTCAAAGCATAAGGTGCCTGTTACAATATGATAGAATCCTATATAACATGGCAAACTGCTTGTACGAAAATAAAGAATTAAAGAATAAAGACGGTCAGATAGATGGATGAACAGATGTATTAAATCTGCAGGTAGCCCTCATTGGGGCTCCCCATGAATTTATGAATATTGATTCTTTCAGAAGAAGGTGAAAAAGTTTTTGATGCAAATTGAGTCAATTCGATGAGGAGGCAAAACTATAGACTTAAAGTGACACGGATACCAATGAAGTACCTCATTCAATACCCACCCTGTGAATGGAAGCTGTGTATGTGTGTCGCTGGCTAGATAACCGCCGCCTCACTGCACAGCGCTCATACAGCTGGTCCCCAGGACCCACAGTGGCAAGACCACATTGTAACCATTGTACATTGTAAGGTACTCTTTCCAGTCCTCCCATATCCTTAGTGGATAAACCTCCATTAAATCATCATCATCAAAGTTCTGTACCAGTGTAACTATCTCACTCTAACAGGGATAGAAGGCCTGTTGCATGGTTCTCACTCTGGACAAACATCTGTGCATTTTTCAAAATAAGTGTCATCTTCTGGATTTCCACTTGTCCCTGCCCGCACTTAACCATTACCCCAAAATTGAGCAATGTATTTGTTAGTAGCGTTACACCCCTGAACACTGATATGAAGCACCAACCTTGACGGGGCTCCGTGTCAGAGACCCAGCTCAGACAGAGCAGTGGTAGTCGGCACATTTCTCCTTCCGTCACACCCCACTGTCCTGTCTCCTATCAACTCTCTAGCCTTGTTTTCAGACTTTCATGAGCTAATCAGTCAGCGTCCCATTTAGTTTAATGATCCATCGGCTCCATTCAAACTCCAGATACCAGAAGTCGCACAGTTAAAGCCATCAGACCATCAGACAGCTGCATTTTGCGTTCCCTACCTGATCCAAACAGCAGTCCAGTCCTGCCCAATGATAACAACTGATTCCAGTCACACTCCTGTGTTATTGATGCTCTCATATGAACACTGGGACCGTGGCTCTGAGCCACACTGGGCCTTCCATAGAGTGTGTGACACCACGCCTATTGTTTGATGCTCTCTGGCCTCTCTCTCCCAGACCATTCTGGAAACAACCGAACACCACTTAGTCTTCGTTCCACTGTTTTTAGGATTGGGGTGTTAGAGATCTTAACAAATACTACCCATGTTGTTGTGGATATTGCTGTGCATGCTCACTGTCCCCAGAGGATGAATCATGACTTTGACACTGGGGCTGGATGATAGAAACGATAAAAACACTAATGGAGATAGAAACATTTCCTCCATTTAAGAATCAGATCATTTGATATACTGTTGACAGACTATATTGCTTGATAATTAACTAATAGTCAAACACATCAGGGGACGGAAGGTATAGCTAACCATTCATATGTCAGAGCTTTATGAACGACATCCAAAAAACATTGCACGCTATCAAATATCAGCTCACTAGAGACCAGAGTCCACATCTGAGGCACAAACCGCAACATCACCATTTGCTTTTTTTTACCACTGTAACCTATGAGAGGAAGGTGCTGCAACCATTTATCAATGCAGAAACACGTTATACCAACCTTTTTAAATAGACTTTCTGTTGGCAGCTCTAGCAGTTGATGGGTAAAATTATATTATACTCAAAACTCAAAACAGCTTTCTTCTGGTGGTCCTCTGGGCAACAAATATTTAACCATGGACATGGCAGATTGCCATGTAATCAGTGTTATTATCTATCTTATGTGACCAAAAATGAAACTGAAACTTAAATGAATGAATGTTGTGTGTGTATGTAGCTATGTACTGCTGAGACATTATACCTTGCCTGAACTAAAACAAACGCATTAACAGCTCAGTATGAGTAAAGCACAGTACATGTTGTGACCATTGTTCTAGCAGCAGTCTGGTAGCCTCCGGCTCTCACAACAGCTAACGAGTCAGTATGCTGTTCCTT